AATATCAAAATAACATACAAAAATTATTTCTCAGATTACAAGATCACCGACAAAAAGTAATAATAACCTCTTCTACACCAATTAATACAGCACGTGATACACAATGCAATTTGGATTTGTTATGTTGGCAACATGAACTCGACTCTTGTCGTTTCCACCGAACCTCAACTGAACGCTACCCTAAAATTTTGTAGGGTAGAGTTCAACTAAACCTTTGGCGTTTCCACCGTACAAGCGCTGACCCCAACCCGACTCTAACCCGACTCTGACCTGATTTGGACTCTCGATGGAAACGTAGTCTATGAAAAATACAGTACTATTACTATGGTCGATTCGCTAAAACTGCAATATTTCCCAGTTTTCGTTCGTTTTGCGCATGTCGACTTTAATTGGTTCAAACATTCTTTGTAACACGCATGTGTATTGTGATGTTTGTAATTCCGAGCGTATATACTTCGTGATCATTTATTTTATATACCTTTTAAATTATCAATTTTTCTTGTATATACATTTTTATCCACTATGTATATGACTAACTGAGTCGAAAGCGTATTATACTGTATAAGCTAAAACATAGTACATATATAATACGTGAATTGGGTACTATTGGTACTGATTAGTATGTACTATGTTTTATTTCAAAATATATTGTTGGTTTGTATTTAACCTTATCTATTTATTAAGAAAATTGAAGTTCTAAAATATATGCAATTCAAATAGTCTTTCCAAGAAAATTTTTTGTATTATAGGCAAGAATTTACATATAACATTTATCTTGTAAAATTACCAATGTGACATTTCAACACTCAACTGAAAATTTTAACAAGGATAACTAAAAAATAAGTTTTAATACTTAAATATTAAAATATATAGTTTTAAAAATTACTGCAGCATGCTTTTGGCAACATCAACATCGCCAAAAAATTTCTCAGTTAATGTTATAAGGTATACTTAAATATTACAAATTTTACACTGAATTTTTTTAACTGTTAATAGATGATTATTATTTATTTATGCAGTCTTGAAGGAAATATTACAGATGTTACTGTAAATGCAGATTTTACTATAGAGAAAATCAAAATAATTGTAATAAAACATTTCTATGGTAATGATATAGCAAAAACATCATCTCAATTCCGTTTAATTCATTCATCTAAGTTTAAACAACTTGTAGATACTAATAGTGTAAATGATGAAGAAATTAATGAACACGGTAAAATTTTAATTATACATTTTATATTTCATTTACATATAGATAAAAGTAATAAAAGGAACTTTATTTGTTACAGATGAATTGATGTTGATGAGAATTCGTCCAGTAAGGAAAGAAAATTTATCTGAAGATACTTTAAAAGGTCCAAGTGAAGAAGCAATAATGCAAGCCACAAATGATTTACCTATATGTAATCCACATCAACATATTTCATCTGCTTATTGCTCCGTAGATGTAAATATATATAATATGTATATATATTTTTTTCTTATTGAATTTATTGATATAACAAAAATTTATATTATACATATATTATAGTTTCAGAATGAAATCCGGAAAATTTTGATAACTCTTGTAAAAGCATCAGCAAAAATTTTAATGTATAGTTCAAACATAGAAAAATTCTATGAAATTTTGAAAGACAAATTAGAAGCAAAATGTAAACCTACTATTGATCCAAATACTGTAAAAGTTCTTATGGAAATGGGTTACTCTCATAAAAGAGTCATAAAAGCTCTCTGTTTACGAAAGTACATAATATTTTTCACTAATAATAATTTAGGTACACAATTTTGTATAAAATTCTTTATTTTATTTTAGATCAAATATATCAGAAGCATTAGAATGGTTGATAGAACATCAAGATGATTCAGACAATGATGATGATTTACATTTTTTAATTGAAAAAGACAATGATAAAGTTGTTGCAGGATCTAGTTTATCTAACAGTACAAGAAGAAGGTCATTAAAAGAGATGTGCATTGAATTATTTAAAGCAGGTAATTGCTTGGAAATTATAAGGACTCCAAACACATTCATAGTATAATCAATAATTTTTTGGTAACACAAAAAATATACTTAACTATTGGTAGGTTTAATATAGAATTATCCTAGGAATCATTATTTAATTTTTTTAATACTATGAATAACATTATTATTTAACTTCACAAATTTCTTATTTTCAAAAAGACACTGTTATGAAAATAAAATTGTCTACTAGATTATAAATATATAAAATATAGTTAGATTTTTTAAATATATTGTTTTCAATACAACAATATAGCATTAAACAAAAACAATTGAATTCCTATTGAAAACAGTTGATTACTATTGTCATCTTAGTATTAATTCAATATATTGCTATACCGTGATTTATGATCTTTCTTTCTTTTTTTTTAAGTTAATATATAGTATATAAATTTGAAAAATGTTGTATTTATACTTATATAAAATACTAATTATACAGAAAATCCAAGTATGAAGAAACAAGAAAATTTGGTCAACATAGTAGATCTTTTACTTGAATCTTTCCATTTCTATAAAAAGATGGATTTCAAACCTAATTCTAAAGCAATGCAATCACTTCTAGAGATGGGATTTGAAGAAAAAGGTATCATTAATGCACTAAAAATTACTGGAAACAATCAAATTAATGCTGTAAGTACTTTGATTTTAATTCAATAGAATTTTTAATTTAGGATAATAAATTGTTTTCAGTGTGAATGGTTACTTGGGGAACGAAGACATAGTTTACAAGATTTAAATGAGGGATTTGACACAGAGAGTCCAATTTTTAAAGCAATTATGAACAATTCACATATTCAACTGAGTCTTACTAGTCCCAAAATGCTACTTGGTAAAATTAATTTATTTTGCTTATAATTTTGGTAAATTATACAAAATTTTATATGAGAAATGTGGTACTTAATTTACACTTGATTTTTAGTGTATTTATCTATATTAGAAACACCAGTTTCTATAAATATGTGGTTAAGTGACCCAGAAGTCTCGCCTATACTTAATCAAATCATTAAAACATATCATGCTGAAAAACATGCCATTCATATAAATCAATATATGACTAATTAATATTATTATCAAAAACCACGAAATTAATATTTTATTAAAAAATAAGAACTTTTAGAAATATTTGAGATAATATAGTTTCTGATTAATTATACTAATAAAATTATTATAAACTTATTATAATGTGTCCAATAAATTTGATACATTGAAATTATCCATGTATATAATAAATTCTATTTATACTATATAAAATATGTGTTTTATTATTACAATCAATTTATAATGTGTTACTATTTAAAATATAATGTACGAGATTATTCCATATTTTTGTTAATAATCATGTATTACCAACAATTTTATAATATAATATTGGTATATCATTACATATTCAATTTTTATGTATACGTATACAGGTGTATGTGATTGTATATAGTCTTTTCCCTTTCATTCATTCAAAAATCTAGATATTGTTTATTACCTTAAACCGGAAATATACAATAATTAGTTCAGAAAAGCAATTTGTCTGTTAGAACATTTATCGTAGGTCGGCATACATGTTTAACGGGTATTATTGCATCAAATATCGAAGTTAAATCGTGTTTTCTAAGAATGGTTTATTATTTTACAAGTGAAGGTATTCTTACTTATTATTTTTTTTAATGCAATTTTTTAATACAATATTAAATTGTATTAGTTAAACTATAATATCTAAAATTGTAACAATGAATAAGGTTAGAATAATGTCTATAATTTTAAATTATAGTTGTACAACCACCAGTTACATTATTTATGGGAATTGATAAATTTGAAAGTGAGTAATAATATAAAAATGTATTACAATGTTTAAATAATACATAATTCATTTTGAAATATATAATTTTTTAGATGAAGATCTTATAAGATGGGGTTGGCCGGAAGATGTTTGGTTTCATGTGGATAAATACTCATCAGCACATGTATATTTGCGCCTGAATTTTGTAAATACTTTTTATTATTGTAATAACAATAATACATATTATTACATAGATATTAGTACTTATATATAGGTGTATTTTCAGGGGCAAACAATAGATGACATACCCAGTGCAGTTTTAGAGGATGCTGCACAATTGGTAAAAGCAAATAGTATTGAAGGAAATAAAATGAACGATATTGATGTAGTATACACAATGTGGTCTAACTTAAAAAAAACTCAGGGTATGGATGTAGGTCAAGTTGGTTTTCACAAAGACAAAGAAGTTCGTAAAATTCATGTTGCAAAACGCATAAGCACTATTGTTAATCGATTAAATAAAACAAAAAAAGTAGAACAAGTCAATTTTAGAGCAGAAAGAGAAAAGCGAGATCGAATTGAACGTGAAGATAAAAAGAAACTTTTGAGAGAGCAAAAAGAAAAAGAAAAAGCAGAAGAGAAACGGTTAAAAGAAGAAGCAGAAATGAGGCAAGTGAACATTAATGTATTTAGTTCTTAAATTTGCTAAAAGTAATATTATTCTGTTCTATTTCAGAAGTTACAATTCCTTGTTTGATACATGTAATATGACATCAAACACAGAAAACACTGGATATGACTCGGATGATTTTATGTGATGAAATTACTTGTATTTATAATTTATGTCTAATTTACCAAATTTTGAGAGGTGAAATAATAGAAAAATATTTCTGAAACAAAGAAGTTTTACAATTTGAAGGTTTATAATTTTTCATCATTTAAGAAAACAATTTATTGAGCTTTATAGAAAAAAAATTATGAACTTTAAAATGTTTCAATTGTGTCATATATCAGTATTAATAGCAGTGAAATATGTAAGTACATTACTACATTATCAAGAGTATTAAATGAATGTCTTAAGATAAATTGGAAACATTACAGAGTTCTTTGAGTAACGATGAAGGGTTTATACTAAAAAAAATTATTTCTTATACAAAATTTGATGACAGAGAAAGCAAATTTATGGTACTGTCTTTTCAAATCTTTTTTTTTTCTAACGAAATTGCACGTTTTTAAAATAATGTTCAGTGTTTAAATTATTCTATTAGATTGAAAGTCATGCTTTATATAAATTTGAATCCTGTGAAATACATTTTAAGAAACATACTTTCTCACAATTTTGGCAATTTTGCCCGAATTGAAATCGGCAGGAAATGTTTCTAAGTTGTTATACATGCTTAAAAAGATATTAGAGAGAAAGATGCGAAGTGAGCATACTTCTTAAGAAGGAAGTGAATTTATTATAAGAATTCTTTGTAACATTATTTCACAATATGTAGTTCTTAAACAGTTCGATTTTTAAATAGGGTTTAGTTCTAATGTGTTGTGATATTTTTTATTGATAATTTCTAACTTTTTGAAGAGGAAATTTAAAAATCTATATACAGATCCACACAAAGGTAAGCACTTAAAAGTCTCGTTAGTTATGTCAAAAATAGTCCATATGCAGTTTGAATGATATCAACAGAATATGTTGTAAAGAATATTTTTATATCAAAATAGATTTTCTCTTCAGGAATTGAAGAATAATAATATTCATTTAAATTTTAAATAACAGCATTTAACTGATAATTCAACTAATAGCATTTAAATTTTTACAATAAGAAATAAATTTCATATTTAGTTTTAATTTTGGTAGTCAGAGGTTACTTTGAGGTCATATTATTAATTTATGTCTGAATGTATTTTAATGTTAGTTGCAATATTCAAAAGGACACTTATATGTATATGTATAAAGAACATCAATTGTCTTGAAAATTTTGAAAAAATAATCTTGGAAAAAATATTTGCGACGTATTCTTTGTGTTATACTATTCAAATTGCATGTATGTAATATATTTTGTGTATTGTCATAATTAAAAGAGATATTTAAGTAGCTAACTTTATGTGAAGCACCCTCTGTAGTACCTGAGCGGTGAGATTTCACTAAATGAATACATATAAATGAATATAATTGCAACGACTGGTGTACATAGTAAACTGAGCGAGCAAATTTAAATGTTTGTTAACCCTTTCGCTTCGGCGGTCCAGTCCGCCGAAGTACTGTAACTGAACGGAAGTGAGCGCCGCATCGGCAGGAAATGTTTCTAAGTTGTTATACATGCTTAAAAAGATATTAGAGAGAAAGATGCGAAGTGAGCATACTTCTTAAGAAGGAAGTGAATTTATTATAAGAATTCTTTGTAACATTATTTCACAATATGTAGTTCTTAAACAGTTCGATTTTTAAATAGGGTTTAGTTCTAATGTGTTGTGATATTTTTTATTGATAATTTCTAACTTTTTGAAGAGGAAATTTAAAAATCTATATACAGATCCACACAAAGGTAAGCACTTAAAAGTCTCGTTAGTTATGTCAAAAATAGTCCATATGCAGTTTGAATGATATCAACAGAATATGTTGTAAAGAATATTTTTATATCAAAATAGATTTTCTCTTCAGGAATTGAAGAATAATAATATTCATTTAAATTTTAAATAACAGCATTTAACTGATAATTCAACTAATAGCATTTAAATTTTTACAATAAGAAATAAATTTCATATTTAGTTTTAATTTTGGTAGTCAGAGGTTACTTTGAGGTCATATTATTAATTTATGTCTGAATGTATTTTAATGTTAGTTGCAATATTCAAAAGGACACTTATATGTATATGTATAAAGAACATCAATTGTCTTGAAAATTTTGAAAAAATAATCTTGGAAAAAATATTTGCGACGTATTCTTTGTGTTATACTATTCAAATTGCATGTATGTAATATATTTTGTGTATTGTCATAATTAAAAGAGATATTTAAGTAGCTAACTTTATGTGAAGCACCCTCTGTAGTACCTGAGCGGTGAGATTTCACTAAATGAATACATATAAATGAATATAATTGCAACGACTGGTGTACATAGTAAACTGAGCGAGCAAATTTAAATGTTTGTTAACCCTTTCGCTTCGGCGGTCCAGTCCGCCGAAGTACTGTAACTGAACGGAAGTGAGCGCCGCGAATACGTGCAGTACGCGTTGTTGCTGTATATACGTTTTCCTGAGTCTTAAATGACTATTTTGCTGAATAACGCAATCTTTGCTACAGTATAATGAGTATAATTTAGATCTTTGATATGAAAACATTTATAACGTACAATTATAACTTTTATAACTTACAAAGCTACAGTATTTTACAATATTTACTATATTTACAATATTTTAATTATGAATTAATTATGATGCGCAAATAAGTTAATATATTAATGCGTAATGATTAATAGTATAAACACGTATGATTAATTTTGTTACACGACACTCGTACCCACAAGTCATATTGAGCGCGCCGCTTATAAGCGGCGCGGCGCTCGAAGCAAAAGGGTTAACGAGCGCCGACGACTATTTTTATTGTGCTCGTTAACGCTTACTTATTTACAAAGTATAGAATTTACATTTTACAATATACATATCTAAGCTCTGTGTCCCGGACCCGTGTGTTATTTTTAAGACTACATATATTCCACAACAGCTAACAGTATTGTATTTCACATTCTAATATCAATACTGCTGTGTTTTACACTGTTTGTGCTTTTAAGATGTAAGCTTGGTAGGAATGTATTCAGAGCATCAGTAGTTTGATTAGAATACTTTCCTGCTGGATAAAGTTTATATTAGAAAATCTTAAATAGTATTAAATATAGTAGTTGAATGTTATAATATGAAGAGTAATAGTATTAAATGTAACATACTAAGTCAAGTCTCAAGACTATATGTTATCTAAGTTACTTAAAATAGTATTTTCATTGATCCAAGTAGATACATATATTATATATATGTAGAATATGCAAAAAGTAATCCAAAAACTAAAGATTCTGCTTACAAAAATAAATTAAAAACTCTTTTACTACTTTGCAATTTGCAGCTTTGTTTTTGAGCAATTGAAAATTACAATGTGGACTTTCAGCATGCTTCGCAACAACCGACAGCTAAGCATGTAATCTATATCATGTTGTCCTGGGTCAATAATTCCTATGTACATCTTTGTTTACAAACCATAAAGAATGGCTGAGATTAATGCCTGCATAATGTTTTGATAGGATTAGATATATATCCTTGTTTCTGTATGAACCTCTTTGTTTAAATACTGGAGCCATAAACATGGATTGATTAGCTGTCAGTTCTTCAAGCAATCATAATTTTCAATATCAATTGAAAATTGATATTGCAATTTTTAATTGCTTACATACTACAAAACAGTAAAGGAGTTATCGATTTGGTTTTGTGAGCAGTTTTTAATTACTGAATTATATCTAGTTTTGGAACACTCTATGCGTGGATATAAATGGAAGAAGGCGCTCTTTTAGAAGGAAGAAAGTGAGAAATGGATTGAACAGGGAAAATTTCGAAGGAGAAAGAAGATGTGAAAAGACCTAAGGCTTTGGGCACATCTGAATAAATCTATGGGTAGGAATATAATCGATGGTGAAGAAAGATTATTTATTAGTAGGAACCTTGTAACTGTCAGTGGAGAATTAGTTATTACTGTAATAAACTATTAACATTTATTTTATGCGAGTCATTCATGTGTTGCCATTAAACAGTAGATTATGTACAAATGTGTATAATTTATTTCTGTAAAATTGTTTTGGATTAAGCCTAAAAGTTGTTCTGAATTAAGTCTGAGGATGACAATGTAATTACACAAATTTAGACACGAACACGAGTTTATTTTATGTACAAAGGAAACGCGCGACACACACAAACGAAACTGCTATATACAAGTAATTGATCTTATCACTAATTTTATACAAATATAATACAACTCCTCGTCAAAAATACCTACTTTAATATTGTCTCTACCGTGAACGCGCGGCAAGTCTAAACGTTTTATCGCAAGGTTTTTCAGGACGTCCTGTTTACGACGTCTAGTTCGGGACGTCTAGTTCAGGACGTCCTGATTACAGTACTGTAATAAACTATTAACATTTATTTTATGCGAGTCATTCATGTGTTGCCATTAAACAGTAGATTATGTACAAATGTGTATAATTTATTTCTGTAAAATTGTTTTGGATTAAGCCTAAAAGTTGTTCTGAATTAAGTCTGAGGATGACAATGTAATTACACAAATTTAGACACGAACACGAGTTTATTTTATGTACAAAGGAAACGCGCGACACACACAAACGAAACTGCTATATACAAGTAATTGATCTTATCACTAATTTTATACAAATATAATACAACTCCTCGTCAAAAATACCTACTTTAATATTGTCTCTACCGTGAACGCGCGGCAAGTCTAAACGTTTTATCGCAAGGTTTTTCAGGACGTCCTGTTTACGACGTCTAGTTCGGGACGTCTAGTTCAGGACGTCCTGATTACAGTTGTAGGGAAAGGATAGTGACTACACGTACCGTTGTGTACGAGATCTTTATTACGACTGGACTTCCATGGCGTCTCCCGCCGTTGGCGTCGTACCAACCTGCGAGACGCATGAGTACAAGCCCTAAGCTTTAGGCTTGCTATACCAGCGCCACACCGGGAACTATTTGTCCCCTACACCACCCCCCTCGCCAAAAACGGCGTTACATACAAAATCTTTGGTATGCCTTCGGTGATGTTTTATACGTTTAAGTTAAAACGCACAGACTTCTTAGGTTTTTCCTTACAAAGTAGCTTATGTCCTAACTTATCTTCTAACTTATCCTCTAACTTAACTTCTAACTTAGCTCCTAATCCAGAATTGACTTCTGCCAGTACAAACGCTGGTTTTAATCTGTCTATCGATACTGTTACATCTCGCCCGCCAATACGTACGACGAATGTCTTATCCCCGCGACTAACTACAGAATACGGTCCGTCGTACGGCGGTTGCAGCGGTTTTTTTACTGCATCGCGTCGCACCATTACGTGCGATGCCGTATTCAAGTCCTTAAAAATAAATACACTTTTTCTTCCGTGTTCTCCGACCTTGACCGGTCGAAACGACTTCATGTGATTCCTGAAGCATTCTACGAAACGTGAGTGCTCCTGGGTATTGTCCCCTTGAATCATATCTCCCGGCAAACGTAAGGGTTCGGACTTCCATGGCGTCTCCCGCCGTTGGCGTCGTACCAACCTGCGAGACACATGAGTACAAGCCCTAAACTTTAGGCTTGCTATACCAGCGCCACACCGGGAACTATTTGTCCCCTACACAGTATTCTCTCCGTAAATGTTAAAATTTTATCCCCACTACTGGGGGGATCCCCCTCGAAATCAGTCAAGAATGAAACACGATCAGTCGCCGAAACGACGAGAATCAAATAGCGGTGAGACACATACTAATGCAAGCAAAGGAAAAGATTTCAACTTTCTTATTTCTTACTATTTTTTCATGAAACTCTGTAACTTTCTTATTTCTTACAATTTTTTCATCAAACTTTTACTATCGTATTTGTCTAGTTTTCCTGATTAAAATGACACCAAACATAATAAAATTACGTTAACAATTGCGTGTGTAACGAGTGATTAAAGTTTTTAACATAAAAGAGGAAGGCGAATGGAAAAGAAAGAGAGGAAGAAGGTTGAAGCGGGGCGAAATGAGCCAGTCTATGGCCAAAACGCCATCTTCGTCAGAAGAAAATAAAAAACCTAAACCTAAGATTGAAGCGTTCGGCAAACATGAAAGACTCGTGCGTTTTCTGTCTTTTAAATTCAAAAATCAAAATTCTTTATTTTTGGTTTTTCTTCAATGGAACTTTTACCATCGTATTTGTCTCGTTTTTCTGATTAAAATGACACCAGACACGATATGATTATGATCGTAATTACTCATGTAACAAGCTATAAAAGTTTCGGGCTTTCACACTTACGGCAAACTTTACATTTACGGCAGAGATACGAATTCCTCCTAACGGCTCCTCCTATACAAGTAATTATGATTTTAATTATATTTTGTTTGGTATCATTTTAATCAGAAAAGCGAGACGAATACGATAATCAAAGTTTCATTCACGAAAAACCAAAAATAAAAAATTTTGATTTTTGAATTTAAAAGATAGATCACGCACGAGTCTTTTATGTTTGCCGAACCTCAGTCCCTCTTTGTCTTTTGTGTTGCTGTCTTTTTCTATGTTCGGCTCACTACAAAGAATGTACACTAGGGTGGCCCTTTATAATGAGAATATAGCGTATCGTTAAATACAGGATGTTACCTGTAACGCTACTCACGATTTTTCTCCCACTTGCAGCCACCTTACGAAAAAATGTTTAGGACAATATTTGTAGGGTATTTAGTGCACAATAGATATTAGTAAAGCAAATTTTTAAAACAGTTTGTTCTCTTGGCAAAGTCAAGGTTACCTTGGGTTTTTTAAATAAGAACATACATTTTTTATATTCATAGCTTTAGAGGACATCGAGGCGAATTCGAAACATATATTGCATTATATTTTTATTAACATATTACTCGATTTACAACATATTACTCGATTTACAGAAGAGGAAATGTGAAGTACTTAGCTATTGACTTCTGTAGTGTAACCATTATTTGATTCCGAAGAGATTACTGAATGTAAACACGCGACTAGAATGTAAGAAAAATACAC